TATTTTCTTGCTTATAAACTGCTAACAGACACTAAATATCCATGCCCACAATGCAGAGGAAGAGGTAGAGGAGCTGAATAGTGAAGAGTTAAAAGTTAAAGGGACCAAAGAGGAGGGAGAAGAATAGTGCAGGACCTAATGTTTCTGTGCTTCATGAAACTATCCATGCTCTTCAGACGGAGAACAAGACACTGAATGAAACAATTGTTGCTCTCCAAACAGAGAATGAGGTATTAAAAAGAAAAGTGAGTCCATTATGCTGTAGTAGGAGAACTTGAGAAACTCAGTAGGGGAAGCCTGTAACATGTCAGGTCCACAATCTTGATGTTGAGAGAGATCATATCCTAAATCTGCAGTGTGGAAAATTGGATTCCAATGAAGCCGAAAAGTGAAAACATAGTTTGTAAAATATATTTGCTAACGAATACATGTGTTGATGAATAATTATTCATCTGTCTATGGTGCATGCTATCTATTATTGGCTACTAAATGATTATTGCGTTCTGGTTTTCAGTGTTAGTAATCAGTCCAAAACTTGTAAGTTATTATGTTCACTTGATCTCCACGTGGACAAGTGGCTTCATCTTAAAATTTTGCTAATTGTAATGTAAACACTTTCACTAGTAGAATGCATGTGTTCCTTTCCTATTTGTTTGATTCAGCTAGCTCTTGCATGTATTTCACTGGAATTGTTATGTTGCAGGATCTATTTATATTAGTTTTTGGAACAAATCACTTATGTAAGGCATATTGGTAGTTGCTTTCCTTTTTGATTTTTTTGAGATTTTTTCTTTGAGAAAAATGATATCTTATATTGAATTGAAAATATAAAACGAGTACAATATATATTTTATCTTATTTAGAGTAAACTTGCCAACTTATAATTCTCGTATGTTATAACAAATATATCTTTTAAAGTATAAAGTTATTCAAAAAATAGAACAAACAAGAAAAGATAACTAAACAAAAATTTTTGCGAGTACTTAGCTATCCCCTTGCCTAGTTCTTTGATATTAGTTACTCTATTACAACACATCTAACAACACAGCCGCTTGCAACTAAATACTAATCCTCAGCCTAAAGTCATCACTCCCTAAGCATCTCTCGTAGACAGACTAATGAGCCATCTTTGTCATTCATCCAAAACCATAGAGATTGAATACTCTTGTAAGACCTTAACCTTAAAAATTTTTAAGTAAAAAATTTACTATCACACTCATAGAATCCAAAGATTGCAGCAAAACTTCATACACAACATCACAAAATGAAATAAACCCCACCATTGGAGGCGTATTTGGGAATTTCTTGAAATTGAAAGTTAGGTGGAGTTGTGGATCAAAAGCAATCGTAGTGAATATTGCAAATTTAATGAAAGCCAAAAGTTAGGTGGGGTTGTTTGTCCATCATTTTTAACCAACTTTCAACATATACTTTATTGATGTTTATTGTATTTATCAACGTGGTTTAGGTTGGGACATAATAGGTGGCCGGAAAAACATAGCATGGACTACTACATTGGTGATTCTATTACTCATCGATGTTGATTACCTTGAAAATTTCTTTTAAGGTTGGAAAAGCTTAGCAAGGTTATCTATATCGGTATTTTTATTTCAGCAACATGATTTAACCCTTCTGATTCTAACGACATTTATTGCTTGTAATGACTGTTTGACCATTTAACATTTTAAGCTACGTCATTGAATCTAAATATCACTTATATGTCTAAGTACGTCGTTAATTTTACCTTGTTGGTAATAAATGTTTTAATAATAAGAGTTAATTATATAATGATGCATTAAAATTATAAATTTACAATAACATGTTATATTGTAATTATTCAATTTTTTTATAAAAAATATAGATTACGGTTCTCTTTATCTATTTAATCTTGAGTTTCCTATGACTTAGTGTTTGAACTCTGGGGTTGAAAACAAATAATTGGCTTCAGGTTGTGCGACAAATGTCAGCTTTATTTTCACCTCTAACATTTTAGTATGCAAAGGGGGTTGACTGAAAATGCCTGTAGGCTATTTTCCTAAGG